ATATAAGTTATATGATTCATTTTGATAATTATCCGATACTTCATCTGAGTAATTAGTTTTAAAATTAAATCTTATTCGATCTGTTATATTATGTAGTATTTTGATGAATTCAAGTGCGCTACTTACACGAAAGCAAAATTGGAAGAAATTAAAGAGGAATGGTGTCAATTTATTCTTGGGTTGAGAATTGTATAGAGTTATCGGATTGGAAGACTTGTAATTATATGTAAATTGAATGTATTTGTGTTGTTGTAATTCTGAGGATCGAATGTTGTTGTAACATATTTAAACAGGTTTATGTGTATATTAAAATGTTTATGAACAAAGTGATGAGTTACAATGTATCCAAAGTTTTGAATTGTATATATAAGGCCAAAGTTTGAATTATATATTTAAGGCCAAAGTTTGAATTGTATATATAAGGCCAAAGTGTTGAAATAAAGGCCTGAATTATAAGCAGATTTGTGTAATATAAGCAGGTTGTTGGTAAATATACAAAAGAGGGTGAATATTTTTATAAAAAAAAAATTTTAAATCTGGGACATTAGACAGCGCTTTTACAAAAAAGCGCTGCTAAAGGTCACAAATATTACGCTACAAAAGCGCTGTTATAGGTTTGGAAGGGGGGGGGGGGTCTAAGACAGCGCTTGTAAAAAGCGCTGCTAAAGGGTGGGTTATGGCAGCGCTTTGTAAAAGCGCTGCTAAAGGTGAGGTCTAAGACAGCGCTTTGTGAAAACGCTGTTAAAGGGGGGATGGTTAGGGGAATTATGCAGCGCTTACAAAAGCGCTGCTAAAGGGCTAAAAAAGCGCTGCTAAAGGTGCTGCTGAAGGGAGCCTTTAACAGCGATTTTTCATTGAAAAAAAACGTTGTCTTTACCTTTAGCAGCGCCACTTTTGGCAGCGCTTTAAAGCGTTGCTAAAGGTCTTTTTTGGCATAGTGTATATATTTATGTTTTATTTATTACATATACATTACCTTAATTGTCATTTATGACCATGAAACAAAAAAAAACATAGAGCTTGAAAAATAGATTAAACATGATTTTAAAAAGTGGACACCGGTTTTTAATGGTTTTAGTAAAAATAAATTTGGATTAATTTTTAAACCAAATAATATGAATTTTTGAAAGCAGTGCACCATATTTTCAAATTTGATTATTGTGAACTGATTTTTTTGCACACCCCTAAGAAGAGTGATATTTATTCTTTTTATTTTAAAAAAAAATGAAACGAGACAAATCACAACATTTCCATCTTCTTTCTATCATGCAGCCATCATCCATCTTCTTTCTATCATGCAGCCATCATGCAACATCCGCCAGACCACTTCATCAACCCCGTCATTGGCCTGTACCTATGACGCATAATACGGGTATGGAACACCGGTATGACAAAAATAGAAAAATCAAAATTACAATTAAAAAATTTAAAAAATTTAAGTTTTTTCTATAAAATATATAAATAGAGAATTAAAGTGTTATCTGATTTAAAACAAAACATAAGTAAGAGTGTAAAAAAAGACTCAAAAATAACATTAAAATATAATAAATTGATATTGATGTTTTAGACTACTACAAAACCTAATAGTTAGAATAAACAAAGTACAGCAAATATAGGACGGTACAGGTGCATATCCGATACCAATACTTCACCGTGGTATGCTTTGGAGGCAAGTACATTGCAACATCATCTCTCTTTTTCCCCCTTTATGTTTTTATCAAAATAAAAATTATAATTAAATAATTAGATAATATTTTAAAAATAATTATTTAAACCAATTTTTCCTTTAAAATTTTTATTAAAAAAATTTCTTATAATTTTTTTTAACAAAAATATGTAACAGTCAAAATATCATTTTGAAAAAAACTGAACAAACTGACCCAAATTTTTTTGAAATTCTACTAACGGTTGATGTATTCACCAGAGTTAACTATCATAGTGAATAAAAAAGTGAAGTATTCTACACCGAAAGAACTATTACTCCTTGACAGGATAGTGGCGGCCAGAAACAGAGGCGGGGATCGGAATTGACACGATAGTATGGGTGGTATGGCCAGAACTATTACTCCTTTATAATGGCCAGAACTATTACTCCTTTATAACGGATTAGGCTGAAAAATCCACAACATCAGCCAATATTTACTATTCCAGCGAGTCCAAAAACCGCCATGTATATCCGCTGTAGTGCTGCAACTGCAGATATTTGATAATGCTGCTTGGGACATAAGAAATGGCAATCTCACCCTAATTCCAAACAGTCGTTGAGTATATTAAAGCAACTGACCTGCATCAGAAGTATACATCTATCGCAAATTCAATAGTCTCTGCGAGCTCTGGATTATCATTCATACATCTACTCAGTTGTTTATAAACCATTGAAAATGATGCATTATATCCTTAATCACCAACGACTAGTATCATCCCTGTACAAGCTTTGAACTTACATTATATACAAAGGCAAAAGTTAATAACATCTGAGCTACATGCTTACAAAGATGGTGCTAAGACTTGTAAATGCTTAGCCCAAGAGCAGAATCAACAAAGTACTTAATTGTTCAAGATTAGGCATCATAAATGATGGCTCTCCCATACCTGATCTTCATTCTTCATCACCGCGCAGAAAAATGCATGTACTCTACTAGCCAACAGGAGTTAGGAAAAAGGAGGATGACAAAAGGAGGATGATACAAATAGTTTATTAAGTGATTTTGGATACCATGACTAACAGTTCATTTAGCAAGTACTTCCGCATTTTCCGAACTTGGTAAGGTTGAAGCCTTCTGAAAATCATGGCAAGCCTGCATATGAAAACCAAAATAAAATAGTTAAGTATTTATTACTATGGCAAAAGTTCATTTCAAACTCTGCCCTTTAGACATGAAAAATAGCTATTGAATAAAATATCAAGAACCGAATTATTAACAAAACGAGAAACGGGAAACTATAACAAAGAATACTTCATACCACACAGAGCCGTCTTATATTTTTAGAGACCCTGTGGTGGTTAGCTATGATCCAACCATGATCATACAATTTACTCACGATTTTATTTAGAAATATTACAGAGCATCTCATAAATCTATGTCCTTGACTCATACAACAACAACCAAACTTTATTTCACTAAATAGGATCAGCTACATGAATCAACTTATCCCATAATATTCTATTATTGACACATAAAAGTATATATATTTATAATTTATAAAATAAAACATCTATAATCCAAATGATGATTACAATCCTATCCCACTTTTTACCGTTCATAACACATAAAATGATCAAACTGTATGAATCAAAAAAATCATTAGGTAAAGAAACAAATTGCAAAGAGTAAATTGACGGAGGGAACATTTGGTTATGTGAGAAAATCTGTGGCATGTAAAAATTCATGTCAGTGAAATAGCAACAGTTAAAGAGAGATGAGAGATGCGTGTAAATGTTTGATCTGCATAGACCAAGCACAAACCAGAGTCATCAATCCCAGATACCGGAACAGAGCGGCCGATTCCAAAAATGGAATTGCAGGATAACCGCTACTTGACTATATTCTTGACTAACTATATGAATAATAACTATAAAACATATATTTAATGAAGAAACTAAACAAATAACACAATATCATAAAAGATTCATAAAATCAAATATTAAAGCACAACACAAGGCTTAAATATAAAACTCTTAATCAAAATCAACAAGTCTTAATCAAATTCAAAACATCACATGCTTATATTAAAATTCAAACAAACATTAAAAACATCACATCTTATACTAAAATTAAAACAATTATATTAGAAGATGATGTAGTTGTCTACAAATAAAAGAAGAAGAAAACAAAGAGTTTTGAAAAAAAAAACGGAGGACGGTATGAAGAGTATAAACAAAGAAAAAAGAACAAAAACATAGGAAAGTGAGAAGAGTTAAAGAAAGAAGAAACGAGAAGTAAGAAGAACTTCCAAAACCAGCATAAAAAAAAAAACAGAGGAATCGGCCGAGTGAGAAGAAAAAAAAGAGTTTTATGAGTTAAGGGTGGAACCGGAAGCAATGAGACCTCAAGTTAACCCGTGAGGAAATGAAAAGACGGATCCTCTATTTTCTAAGTTAGGGCAAACGGGGTGAAATTCCAGAAAAACTGCTCCATTTTTTTTAAAGGAAAAATATGGCTTTTCGCATTCAAAAGAGATAACAGGCTGAAACCCGCTCCGGGCCAAGAAGAGCTCAGCTCCTGCGACCCGCTCCAAGCCAAAAATCGGCCGCGATCTCAAATCAAGACGTGAACTGCTACGCCGTAGCAGCTGGTGACCGCTCTCCCAGGATAGTGCCGATAGCACTGTACTCCCCAGGATTGATAACTCTGGCACAGACTACATAAAAGGCCAAGCCAAAAACCGGCCGCGATCTCAAATCGAGACGTGAACTGCTATGCCGTAGCGGCTAGCGACCGCTCTCCCAGATAGCGCCGATAGCACCACTATTCTCCAGGATCGATAACTCTGACACAAACTACATAAAAGGCTCGTATACGAGACTTCTCAATGTTGCCAAATAATGGCAATAGCATTGCGGTATTTGAACAAAACACTGTTGTTCCATGATACTCTAATTAGTACAAAGTGTTGTTATACTGCGGTGGTATAGCATTGTAGCATAGCAGAATTTGAACAAATTATTATTTTTAGCGATTCCCGATTGACAACAGTGACAAGAAAGCGACCATGATTCTAATCTGTATAGAAAATTAGACACGGGTGAAACATCAACCTAACTATAACAATTTTTACATAATCCAAAGTACACCCGGTTGTTTGAAGTATCATAATACTTTTATATCTGTAACTCATCATCATCATCATAAGCTTATATTAGAGACAGCACAAACTACCAAATAAGAAGACACAGAAAAGAAAATGGTGAAAATAGAAAAGTTTATTGATAGAATTAGTATTTACTTCAGCTTTCCATGGGTAAAACTCGGCTTCAGCAACCTTTCAAGACGATTTGGTTACATACATATAGATAGTTTTCCCGTCCACTCATCAGCAACGCCATAATCAATGCTTAGCTCTCTCATTGGAGGGATGTTCTCCATCGCATATAGCATAACATGAGGAAACATCAAATTATTGTGATCATACAGAACAAACTGAACAAATACATTTGGACTTGAACTATGGCTCATATAGCAAGCAACATTTCTCATTGTTGACACATCCAGAGAAAAATCTAGAGGAGGAATTGATGGATAGGAGGGACGCACATATTCACTGTACACCTGAGACAAATCCCCCCATTCCGCCCATCTATCTGAAAACCGATTAGGATATATCAACGAATCACCATTCATTGTTAAAATTTGCGCTTGCTCCCTAGTCAAAACAACCCCCGTATACTCGCAGATAAAGGCTCCAGCCTGAATAAGGTCCAGAGACCTAACCCCCCAACCGGTCTGAGTAGACCTAAACACTTCCAACCTATATTTGAGCCCCTTTTGTGCAACACGGTTTCGACAATTCGGAGGACATGAGCAAAAAGGGCCACATTCAAAAATCAACGGCTTCCCTTTCACAAGCAAACCCTGTAGATTATAAGGATGCTCTCCTCCATTCTTCACAGAGCAAAAACAACCATCAGTACAAGCATCGACGCACTCACATCCAGTAGCTTTCCCAATCTGATGAAACACAAACGGCGGGAAACTAGTATTCGGAAGATACTGATAATAAAGAGGTTCCTGACTGTCATCTATGTCATTAAAAAGCCTAATAGGAACCTTCTCCCTCTTGTCCGAAATATCAACAGAAAGACAATACATAGGCTTAAAGTCCAACCCACTTTTCCTAATTTCCCGAGCATCTTTGAGAACGGCACTACCCATCTTAGCCTGCCCCTCAATTCTCAAGAGCTTATACTTATACACTCCAAAACCAGACTTTCCTACGTCAAACCAACACTCCACAATCCTATACACTCCATCATAAACATAAATCTTCCCAGAACCGGACGCACTCCCTTCATACTTCATCCCACGAATAACCCTAACTTCGATCCCATAATGCATACTCCTTTCCAAAGCAAGGTTTCCACCCACCAATTTCTGATCACAAATTTGCCTTGAGGAGTTCTTCTCCTGCCCTCCATGTCCAGTGTAGATTATAACATCACCATCATCCAACTCCATGTCATCCTCGTATCCACCCGAAACAATCACACTAGTAGCGATCGGTTCACCATTGGAACACCTACTTTTAGGTAGATAATCAATTCCAGCTTGTATCTGCATATGCAAACCAACTACACACAATTCCATCCTAAAAAGAAACACATCACCAACATAAACCCCGGGTATCGGTCCAACTATCCTCTTATCTCGATACAGCCACAACTGACTCTTCCTCATTAACGCTGCCGCCCTCATATCACCACGAATGCGGATACGCCTCTTTTTTCCACTCGGCGTTTCCGTTTCCACCTCCACCCCTGCAGCCGCAGCGCCCTTCTCCTCACCTATCCTCATCTCCTCCTCCATAACCGCAACTTCTTCAGCCAATCTCCTCTCCTCAGCCAACCTTTTTTCCTCAGCCACTCTCCTCTCTTCCTCCATAACAGCAACTTCCGCAGCAAATCTCTTCTCCTCTTCAATACTCGCCAACACGCGAAGCGAATCATACACCATCCTTGTCCTCCTCATCACCTCCCGACAATTTATATGTTCCTTCATACTCAGATCTGAAACCCTCACAAGCTCCATCACCTGGCTCGCCCTCTTCCTAGCCACAGCAACTGCCGCAGTGGCCTCTTGTTCTTGTTTCTCCGGAACAACAACAATTGCTAGATCATTGTTATTGTTATTGTTATTGTTATCGTTATCATACGACTGAGAATCCGTAGATTCCACACCTATATTAGGGTTCAGATTTAGGTCTGGGTTACAAACGTTGTTACCAGTCTCCTCAACAACAGAAGGACCAACATTGGCGGAATCGTTGATGGCAAAGAAAGGACCCAGAGATGTACCGAAAGTAGCATTGAAAAGCTGTGAAACCCGATAGAATTCATTATAGAGATCAGATTGATCGTCTTCTTCAAAGCCAGGAGAGAAATGGGGTTGCTGGGAATCTTGGGCAGCCATAAAATCATCAAAAGGCTCGGGTTTTGGGACGAGTAAGGTTTGAAATGATTTTCCGGTGGATTTTTCGGTGGACATGGTGGTGGTTGGGGGTGGATTGAGGTTGAAATTTTCGGGAGAAATGTTGGGGATTTGGTGAGACATGGTAAGATTGGGAGCGAGGGAAGGAACATGAACAGGAACAGGAACAGGAACATGAACGTTAACCGGAGGAACATGAGATGAAGGAGAAGGTGTTTCAAGGGATAGTAAATGATCCATTGAAACTGTGATGAGAAGTGATGAAAGTGGAGTTGTTTTTTTTTTCTATTTCAATGGAGGTTAGAGAAAGAGTGGCACTAGAAATGAGGTCATGGAAACAAGATTGTAAAGAACA